TCTATGTATCAGTATCATGAGAAAACCTTCCTAAGTCCTGTTCTGTCTTAAATATGTCAAGGAAAAAGGCACACAGACACAGACTGTTGAATACCATATTCTTCCCCACTCACCTCCTGTAGAGGGTATAGACCCATTGTGAAGGCTTCTTTTGGCCTGGGCAGAAGCTTAGGTTAGGTAGTGGACTAGAAGTTTTAGATGGAGCTGCCTGAATCTCAGCAGGATCCTGTGGACTCACAAGTGACCTGGGCTCTAGCCTGTATTGTTGGAGCAGCTTGGGATTGTCTCTGAAAGCAAAAACTACATGGACATAGGGAACTTCTAACCATTTTTCCTCTCTCACAAAACTGATCTAACGAGTTCCAGTGAGTTCCAAAGGCATGTGGGGAACCATGGAGTTCGTGTTTCCCACTCTGCAAACCAAGCAGAGAAAGGTATCCCTTTCTTTCACTGCCTGTTTCAACCAGTAGCAAGGGGCATTCCCCGTGCCCCCCCCCCCAAGTTCTGATCTCAACCCTAGGGCTAGTGGCAGCTGCTGCTGGAATTGCCCAAAGGAAATGTCAGGGCCAGAACACTACTCTTATTGAGGCAGACACAAGCACTTCCTCATAGTCCTTAGGTTTATACTACACAACTGAAATGGAACTTAGAGCCCTTGTTTAGAATTTGTCAGCCTGCAACATGTTTCCAGAAAGGAATCATGGCCAGAGAGAAGCAGATCTTGGCTCCTTTAATGTCCATTCTGACTAAAGATGCCATCCATCTATGCAGATCTCTAAAAAGCTGTTTTCAGATCTGCTCACATAATCACCTATGCTCTGGTGACCCTACCTTAAAAATTTAGCAGTCCACCCTGCCTTGGACTGTATTCCTGAAGGGGAGGGTGGCAGGCTGATGAAGAAATTTCCTAGTTCTCAGCCCTACCCTAAGGGCAGGAAAAGACAAATTGGGTTTTAAACCTTTTCAAGGTGGGTCTGTCTTTGATCTTCTGTGAAAATGTGCCTCCGAAAGAAAGAAAAGGAAAAAAAAAGTGGTAGGAGAAGTTAAGAGTTAAGAGGTCTTTTTCCCTCAGGTGCTGGGGTTGAGTTAATGGAGCAATTTCCCCAAGGATCAGCATTCTCAGTTTAAAAGACCTAGAATTGGAATCTCAAGAGCTAAAATTGCCCGCTCACCAGAGGCTCCCACCAGAAAGGAAACTAACTGATACAGAACAGCCTTGACATTCCCTTCTATGAATGTGGAAAGATCAGTACAGACTGCCCCAGTGACATCTGTCCTTGAAGGCTTGAGAACAGCTGTCGTGTGTTTTTATATGAGGCATATTGTTCTCCCAATTGTCTCTACCCCAGGTGTTGTGCCCAGATTACGAAGTCCCAAAGACCACCAGGAGGCCGTTTCCGATGTAAGCACACGAGGGTCATTTATTCAAGCTTAAGCAGGGACTCTCAATTGTCACCAACACAGTGGATCTGTTGTGCCCAGATTGTGAGGTCCCAAAGACCACCAGGAGGCCGTTTC